TTACACCTAGGCCTTCAGTGGCGTCCTACATGAATTAATCCATCTCTTCATACCATCATAATGATGCCACGGCTATATAAACCATAAATATGACACAGCAATGCAGTATAACAGGGTACTACATAACAGACAGGTATCTTATGTAGTGAGAATGAATGCCATTACTAAAGAAAGAAACCCAATTAACAATTGCGCAACACATCATCTGTAGCTGAAGCATTAACCTAACAAAATGACACAAATACAGTCCATCCAATGTTCTTACAGACATTTATTCACCCAAACGCATGTATACCTTACAGATAGCATTGGTATAAAACAAATAAGGTGATTACATGTGTTTTAAAGTTGATCTAACAATTGAATGTTCTCTTACTGCTTTATTTCGTCTTCACAAGTATCCCCGCCGGTCTGCCAGAGCGCTGCGGGAGGAAAATACTGCTTAGCACAGCTTTACTAGGAAAGTGAGCAAGTAACATTTAAATAATTCATACAAGACGATGAAGAAAAGTGTATAGATGTGTTTTAAGGTACCTCTGTGACCTCACCTCCCCGCTGGTCTGCCTCGGAGGAAAAGACCGGTTAATACAGCTCCATTCGGGAAACTCAGATATTCTTACAGAAACTTAAACCTGGCTTTATATCGCGCAAATAACATCAGCATACAACGCATCAAGCGATAAAAGAGTCAAAAATGAAAATTAAGCTACCATACTCTAGTGGTTTTTCATCTTCAGGAGGCTTTCACAGAGCCGCTGCCGAGGAGGTGCGTGTTTGTTTTCCGCATTCATTAGGACTACTGTTTTTAGATTTACTAAATATAGTAGGCAAATATTTTTTCAAAATGCACTGAAAATCTAAACCTGGGAAACAGAAATAAAAGTTTTACTAAGTTTTAATAAAATGATTTACAGTGATGCTGTTTGCTAGCTAGTATGCTGACCATCCAATCAAAGGAGGAGAAAATGCTGACGTTATCGTTAGCCAGCTCGATAGCCCTGGTGCTGCCAACTCGAAATCTGATTGGTTAAAGCAACGGTTTCATTGCCATTGATTTAAGCTAACAGACGCCTGCACTGTGGATTCTGAAGGCCTTAAGGCAGATTTATTTGACCCTGGCAACACGATTGCTGAAATATGATTGGATAAAAGCTCTAATATAAACATACAGTGCTGGAAGCAGTGCAACCAAGAGAAACACTATGAACTGAAGAGAATAGACTATTGGAAATAATTTAATACACATTCATGGAAAAATATATTAAACTAAATCAGTGATTCTGATAGTGTTTAGGCCAGCAGAGAAGGCTTTGCTGGCCCTGACGGCCCACCACTGACGGATAGTATTGCACACTGCCAACTAAACAACTGAATGAGCCTAAGCAACGCGGATAGCCTTAGCAACACGCATGTTGCCAATAACTGAGATGTTCGAGATAACTTAGCTTGTGAAGATGTTCGAGGGAGTGAAACATAGCAGCTGTGACGAGGATCTCTTGATATCCTTCTTGAGGATAAAGTTCCCCTCTGGACTTGTTCTTGAGTCGGTCACATAACTCGTGGAGTCCATGTCAATAATGTAGCGAAGCGAAGTAATGCTAACTCCGTCACTTCCGAATCAGGCAGCTTATGATCAATGTGGTAAATTCACGTGTTTAAGTTAATGACTTGAATGAAACAGAGGTCCATTGGAGAAACCAACTAAATTCCCAATTCCTAGTGATGATGGTGTTTTGCCTGCTGAATTCGCCATTTAATTAGCTATTGAGCAACGTGAAGCTGGTGATAATACTGAAGGACCTTAAATATGAGTGCTGTGATAGGTGTTGCATCCCTATAGGTAGACGTGGATCATCTGAGAGTCAGCTGATGCGAGCTTGACTAACGTGACCTGCCAGAACTGACGCTGATGCTAGATTTATTTACTATAAAATCATGACATACAGTAGACACAGTTCAATAGGTAGCATTTACACTTCTGTTTATTTATATGCTCATTCTCATTAAATCTTGGTTTCCAATCTTTAAAACTTGAACATTTTAAAAGGTTTCCATCAACAAATTGCTTTTTTAAGCACCAGTAGCAAGGTCTGAGGTGTCTGTGAACATCTACAAACAGTTTGACTTCTTTTTTATTTATAATTTCCAAAACAGGGCTTAAAATTTAATTACCACAACAGCCTGAAAAAATACCATTATGAAAGCTAATACATTTTCACATTTTTAAAAGTTGAGTATTAACAGTCATGTACAATTACTTGAAATTATGAAATAATACATATTTAAAAATTAACATTTTTATTTGATTTGGACTTTTTTCTGTCATTACCACAATGGCAATTGTAATTTATCTAATCATTTTTATATTTTATATTTTTTATATTTTATGGAAATCTGACATACAGTATTTTCAAAATGATGTGGTTAAACCCGAAAGAACATAATATATATTTTTCACATGCATTTAAAATCAAAATACAAATTTTTCTATTTATTAAATCAAAATAAAATGAATACCTGGTGCGGTAATGATACCTAAGTTGCGGAAATGAGAATTTCAGCAGAAAATGCAATAAACTACAAAAATAATTCATTAATATGTTAAAATTGCTATTTGAGCATATTTGTTTATATTAGTAAATTACATGTTTTATATTTAAAATCTATTTTATGCATAAAAAAACTATTGCACATTGCATATTTAGATATTTGGATTTAGGGATGAATTGTAACCTGTAATCCTAATAACAATTATTTTTATATAAAAAAATAAAAAAGATTTAAAATCACAAAACTCCAATTTAGATTTTGTGTAGTGTAAACATTATCGTAAACTGTGTCCATTCTGCTCTGGAACAGTAATGTTGTCTGCCATAAACATCCCCTAATTATTGCAGTTAAGAGACTGTAAGTGCAGGTCTAGAAAGGAAAGGAAAAGAAAAGAAAAGAAAAGAAAAGAAAAGAAAAGAAAAGCTGAGGTGACGCATTGCGTCATGGGGATGATGTCATCGTTTTCTCTTTTTTTTGTGCTTTGCTCTTTTAGATGTGACCTTCTTGCCTACTCCAGCTCTGACCTACCGCACCGTCGGAGGCATTCTGGACTTCTACATGGTGATGGGACCCACTCCAGAAGCTGTGGTTCAGCAGTACACTGAGGTGACCATTAGATTTGAAGCCTTTTCAATATTTGTTTTAAAATGCATTTGCATGAAATGTTAAATAATTTTCTCTTGGTTTGTGCATTTTGTTTGACAGATGATCGGCCGCCCGGTTCTTCCAGCCTATTGGTCGCTTGGATTCCAGCTTTGTCGTTACGGCTACTCCAACGATGCAGAGATCGCAGATCTTTACAGAGACATGAAAGCTGCTAAAATTCCTTATGTAAGAAATCTCATTATTTAGTGTGTGCATGTGTGTTTTTCAGTCTCAACATTTTTTATATTTTTTTGACAGGCACACCATCAAATAGTAAAAAAATATCCCTTTTTTTTTTGGCCCTGTTAATAACCGCCTAGCGACTGCATAGCAACCACTCACAAGATCCTACATCATGCTCCCAGCATCTGCAGAATTAAATGTTTCAAACCAAAGCATTGCTAAGTTTTCACTAAATTACTCAATCACCTTGGAACTTCACATTTAGGTTCAATGATCATAATATTTGGCCTTTGATCCCTCAAAGGATGTTCAATATGCAGACATTGACTATATGGAGAGGCAGATGGACTTTACGCTGGACAAAGTGAACTTCAAGGGACTGCCTGCTCTGGTGGACAACATGAGGGCTGAGGGGATGCGCTTCATCTTCATCTTGGTGCGAACAGTTCTCTATTACTTTGAAAAACTAAGTTGTTTCTATAAAATGGTAAAAGATGTTGTAATGTAAACAGAGCTTATACATATAGATCGATGTACAGTATGCTGTTCTTGTTCTGTCTAAGAACATGCAGTGAAATGTATTCTGTACCAAAACTACATGCTTTATTTGTTTGTGCGCTTCAGGACCCGGCTATAGCAGCCAATGAGACAAAAGGCTCCTACCCTGCATTTGATACTGGGGTTGAAAAAGACATTTTCATCAAATGGCCTCCCGAGCTCAGCAATGACATTGTGTGGGGAAAGGTATGACAAACACAAGAAGAACATACGGTTGCAAGAAAAAGTAAGTGAATCAGTTACATTTTCTGGTTTTCTGCATAAATTGGTCATGGAATTTGATTTGATTTTCACCAAAGTCACAAAAATGGATTATCCAAAAGTTGATAAAACACTAACAGTCATCATCTTTCATGTCTTTATTGAACATACCCATTAAACATACAAAGTGATGGTGGAAAAAGTAAGTGTAACACTAGGCCTCTGCTAAATTGACTTATATTAATACCCAAACAGTGTCAGTGTGTATTCACAAGCAGCATTAGCTGATGTGAGCCATGCCTCGCAAAAAGAGATCTCAAAAGACCTACGGTCAAGAGTTGTTGATATGCATGTAGCTGGAAAGTGTTACAGAGTAATCTCAAAGACTTTAGATATTCATCAGTCCACAGTTAGACAAATTGTCTATAAATGGAGACGATATTGTGCTGTGGATATACCCAGCCAAGGCTCAATGCAGAATGCTCAATGAGGTGGAAAAAAACCCTAGAGTAACAGGGATTTGGGGCTACATTGCTTGCTCTGGACCTGGACCGCTTGCCATTGTGGAGGGGACAATTAATTCCCAAATTTATCAGGATATCGTACAGGATAATCTCAATGTGGCTGTGAAGCTCAGAAGAAGCTTGGTCCAAAATGACTCCTGGACGTTGTGCAGGGCTAATTCACAGCTACAGGAAGCGCTTGCTTGAGGTTATTGCTGCCAAAGGTGGTTCAACCATGGGTGTGTTCAATAAAGACATGAAAGATCATGACTGTTTGTGTTTTATCAGCTTAGAAATATTTTTTTGTTGATATTTGTGACTTTGGTGAAGATCAGATCACATTTCATGACCAATTTAGGCAGAAAGGAAACAAAAAAAAATGGTTCACTTACTTTTTTTTTGTAACTGTATATTGATTCTGAGTTTTTTGACAGTATATTTTTCTCTGCTCTGCAGCACTTCATGTTCTGCTGTACCTCAAACTCTGTAGCTTTTACAACATTGGTTTGCTTATGTTGTGATTTAAGTATAATATGATTATCAACAGTACACAACAGGAAATGCCTGATAGAATGATAATAAAGAAAGTTTGTGTAACCCCTCTGGTCCTAACCACTCTGATCCAAGCAGGACTCGAACGCAGGTCGCCAGCATGGGTGGCAGGCATGCTAACAAAGACACTAAAGACCACAGAGTCTAGCGTGCCTCTTGAGATCAAGGGAGTGAGGTTTACCTACACAGCTCACACTGGCTGGCCTCCGTTACACTCACCCTGCTCCAAGCAGGATTCTAAACGCGGTCTTTGGAGTCCTTGTTAGCGTGCCCACCTTTCCTGCTGGTTACCAGGGTTTGAGTCCTGCTCAGAGCAGGGTGGTTCAGACCGGAGGGGTTGCATTTGCTATTACTTTTACATAAAGCATACAGCGGCCAAAAGTACATAATCGATCATAACTCCCAAACCGTTAGGCACAGTGCCTCGTTGGAATCCTTTGCCCAAGATGGACAAAATGCATGCCTCGAATTCGCTTGTCGACCTGGTGAAATTTTGGGGTATTTTAGATTTTTTGAAAATTCTTCTTTTGCGAACTAGTCCTTTTTTGTCTGGTTTTGGCCTGATCGCATCCAAACCAGTTCAGTAAGATTCTCTGGAGTCTCTAAGGGGCACTAAACCGTTCATAGTGCGTGGAGCTAGTTTTACTATAATGCCTATAGCTCAACAATGGAATAATATATTCACCAAACTTGGCACACATGAGTAAGAGCTCATTCTGTGGTTGCATGAAAAATGCGTCAACTGTCCACTTGGTGGTGCTATAAAATGGAGAGAAAAAAAAATGGCTTTAACTCGCGCAATTTATTACACACGCCCACAACGTTCATATCGCATGGTAGAACTCCTCATTCTGAGCAACTTGTCAATTGAACCTTCATCAAACATTGGAGATTATTTCAAAATCCAAGTTTAGCGAACTAGTCCTAGGCTTTTGGCTCAACCTCGATAACTGTTAAAAAACATTAAAACAAATATATTTCCTTTGTACATTATTGGTTGTCTTTTCCCTCTATGACATACGTGTTTACATGGTTACTAAAGAGAGCACATTACTTTTTTCACATTGCTTTAAAAGCCTTAAAGTGCTTTAACCCCGATAATTGCTATTTGCAGCTATATTTATTATTTTTATTTTAATATCATGATACCAATTTCCATAATTCTCTCAAACAGGATAGATGTTTTACAGTGAAACAAACCAAATGATACCACAAAACAGCACATCATTTATCAGATCCATTGCTAATACTTTGTTCTGCTCTTTGTGCTGTTGTTTTCCCCCCAAAATTGATGTTACTTCTTAGAAGATGATGTCATTATGTTTTTGTATGCTGCATTCCGCAAGTCCTAAACTGGAATAACCACGAGAAGACAAATAAGTCAACCCATATTTCAGTGAGAAGTTTAATTTGACGTCATCTGTAGGGTGGTGATGAATGAAACAGAGTTCTATTGACTGAATTGTATTCGGAATTCAGAGTTCCGAGTTAAATGAGGTTAAAGTGGGAAACTCCATCCGGAATACAACATTAGTTGAAGAGATTTGGTGATTTGTTTGGAGCATTTTGATGAGAGAACCTGATGTTTTAAGACCTATACGGTATGATGAGGACATGTACTGAAAGCAGGAATGATCCTTTAATTTTAGACGAAAGCACTGATTTTAGCGGTTGTTTCTGTGTGTTGTAGGTGTGGCCTGATTATCCCAATATTACTGTGGACAATTCTTTGGACTGGGATACTCAAGTAGAGGTATCTGCTTCTCTCTTTTGTTCCGTTTCATTGTCTTTCTCTATATGTCGCTTTCTTTCTCTTTCTGTCTCTTTAATCAGAGAACTGGCCATCTTTTCTCTTGTTCTCCTATATATCATCAGTACAGTGGGCTATAATTGCAAAAGCAGTCAAGAGAGATGATCGTCGATACTATCAACCAATTAGCATGCAAAACACACACCGTCAGCCAATGAGCACATACTAGTACTATATCACCCACTGCATGTAGTAAACAAACAGAACACATAAGAAGAGAATCAGCACATTACTATTTAAACGGATAATAAACGAGTAATATCCAATATTCACCTTGTCTAATCTAACATTTCTTTCGTTTAAACTTTCAGCTATTCAGAGCTTTTGTGGCGTTCCCTGATTTCTTCAAGAGCAGTACAGCAGAATGGTGGGCACAGCAGATTAAAGACTTTTACAACAACGTCATGAAGTTTGACGGACTTTGGATCGTGAGTGCTTTGTTTTTGTCATTTTTCATGTTGGAATGAAAGTAAAGCAATTTCCTGAGCTAGATAAAAAAGTTAGTCAAGACAGACTTTGAAGTTGGCTTGAGAAAGCCAGACCAGAAAGTTTGAAACAATTTTGAAGATTGAAGATTGAAGTTTTAAGTAGTTTAAAATTGTAATGTTAGTTTTAAAGTTTTATTAAAAAAAAAAAACATTCAGATGGAGTTTTAAGAATCTTGACTCATTTGAACATTCCATGAATGTAAGTATTTTTGTGATTGTAATCTTCATTTTATGTTGGATCAGTCTGAAAAGACATACCAACAAACTTCAGAACAGTCTGAAGGTCTGACCTGAGTTTAGTGACTCTAGCTTTAAAGCTCTAGGAGAAGTTAGTGTTGAGAATTTTAGTCTCAGAAGAAGTAGTTTAAATAGCATTACAGTAAGTTGGCTTTCTCAAGTGTCTCGTGTTCTTTGAGGACATCTGTGCCATTACACGCCATTGTTGCTTCTAAAACAACACATTTAATTATAACCATTACAATTAAATACCTCTGAAATTGAGAAAAATTACAGATTTATAAGAATGTTGTTGAAATCCCAACAAGGACATTGATTCAGGAATACATCTTACTTGACAAAGTCATGGTGAGCTGTCCAAGAACAAGTGAAGACTTAAAGGGTCATCGAATGCGAAATGCACTTTTACATTTTGTTTGAACATAACTGTGTGTTGGCGGTGTGTGTACACAACCACCCTATAATGTAAAAAATCCACCCAGTTTAATTTTTTTTATGTACTAAAATCTTTACCCCTTTCTCAAATCAAGCCGTTTTTAGCTTCTTGTCTGTGTGATTTCACACAGACCCAGGCCCTCCCACGATAGTTTGATTGACAGTAGCGTTTCAGCACAGACTGGACTGGTGTCTTACCTTAGCTCCGCCCTGAGTGAGCTGTCATCAGTCCGCCACTGTTTCACCGCCGGAGCAGATGTAGACAAGAATAACTCCTAAGAGATTGAGGTGTTCTGTTGTTGGATGTAATAATGAACATAGCAGTCATCGTTTACTCCCGACATCTGAGCCGCTGAAGACGCAGTGGATTACGTTTGTTTTTAAAGGGAATGCACCACCGATCTGCCTAAATGTGTTTGTTCACGCTAATCATTCATGATCCAGCTTCACCTCCAGAAGAATTGAGTATATGTTTTTTTTAATGAATCTTTGCAAATCATCTTTCCTAATAACGTGCAAGTTAGCAAGTTTCATGATAAATGCAGCTAAAGTTTACCGTCTCTCAAAGAGCGGCTCGGAAGGGAGGGGCGGGGTCAGCAGAGCTCATTAACATTTAAAGCGGCATGCAAGAAAACAGCTTGCTCTTAAAAGAGCTGTTTTTGACAGGGTAAAAAGGTTGTTGTTTTACACTACCATTGAGAAACTTTAACCAAAGTATGTTATAGACTTTTCATTAAGACCCTAAAGAATCATATCAGCTTGTGGAAAATGGCCATCCGATGACCCCTTTAACATAACCCCATTTTTACGCTCATTGGCATATCACCACTGTTTTTTCCTTTGGATTCATTGGATGATAACACTGTCCCTGTGTTTTGCTTTCTGAAGGACATGAATGAGCCGGCCAGTTTCGTGCATGGCACCGTCGGAGAGAAATGCCTAGGGGATCCCGCCTTGGAAAACCCTCCATACATGCCCCGTAAGTTCGTATGAGTGTGTCCTGTAATGTGTACTTGGCAACAGATATTTTACAACACAGTGGTCAGCATTTCCTGGGCTTGCCCCCAACTAAAGATTTGTTTAGTCGACCGGTAGCAGGGTTGCCAGGCTTTCACAACAACACCTACCCAATTGCTACTCAAAACTTGCCCATTCACAATTTGGGGAAGGTCCCCCAGTAAAAGTCACATTCTGGGGGGTAAAATCTGCATTTTTGTTTGTGGGGTTCCACTGGTAAAATGCACATTCCAGGAGCCAAATATCACATTATTGTGGTTTATTCAGCCTGGGGACATGAAAAATAACCCATAGCAACAGTGTTAAAGTAGCTTAATTTGGCAATACTGACTGGTAGTCATTCAGTTAAGCCATTAGTTGACTACTATATACTGGGAGAGGGAACTAAACCATAATAAGCATTTAATATATAGCCTTTTCTACACGCAAGTGCACGCATAAAGCTTGATGCAAAGCACTGGCAAACGTAATGACTATGAATGTATCAGAGAAAATAGCAAGGAGATATTCTAATTATTTCATAATCAGAGTATTTGTTTTAGATTTGAATTGTAGACATTTCAAGGTTTCTGTAGATAAATTTCTCATGTCTGAATTTTGGTTCATTTTTGTGATGTGCTCCAGCTCACAAAGACAGAGACAGCAGAAAGCACATCCTGTTTGTTTACGTTATTTTCTAAAAGCACAAGATTTAGTTGATATTAAGAGTATACACAAATAAAAACACCTAAAAATGTGCCAAATAACACACATTTATCTAGGTTAATGTCAGGGCGAGCGGCCATGTAAAGTTGCTACTACTTAGTAGAATTACTTATAACAGGGGTGCCCAACTTCAGTCCTGGAGGGCCGGTGTCCTGCAGAGTTTAGCTCCAACCCCAATTAAACACACCTGAAACAGCTAACCAAGCTCTTACTAGGCATACTAGAAACTTGAAGGCAGGTGTGTTGAGGCAAGTTGGAGCTAAACTCTGCAGGACACCGGCCCTCCTGGACCGAGTTTGGGCACCCCTGACTTACAGCATCTCTCACTCCCACTTTGCTGCCTGTTTGCTCCTTACTGTTCAATAATAATAAAGGATAAAAAACACCAAAAGTTGCTACTACTTGCATGTTTCAATTTTAAATAATAAGCCATGTTTGAGGTCGATGAATGATAGGCGAGCATTTGGATGATTCTATTCTCATCTAAGCCTCTTCTCGTTGACTATTAAGCAGGCAGCCCTAACATTTGCACCTGTATTTAGCACATTCTGTCCAAAATAAACCTGCCCTACGTATGTGTGTGCCTTTTCCCAGCTCTGGAGTCCATGCACAGAGGCCTGAACCATAAAACTTTATGCATGAACAGCGAGCAGATCCTGGCTGATGGCACACGCGTCAAGCATTATGATGTCCACAACTTATATGGCTGGTCTCACACGAAACCTACTTATGAGTGAGTTTTCTAGTCCTCTATATTCACTTCTATATTTATTTTTCAGTTGTTCTGGAATGAGTTTTAATTGCTGTGTGTGTTTATGTGTGTTTCACAGTGCTTTGCTTAGTGCCACTGAAAAGAGAGGTGTCGTAGTTACCCGTTCAACATATCCGTCTAGTGGTCGCTGGGCAGGACATTGGTTGGGAGACAACTACTCCGCCTGGGACCAGCTTCTCAAGTCCATCATAGGTATGATGGAGCTGATTATTTGGTGGTTTTTGAGAAGATAAGCATTGCTATTGCTCATATTTAGCACTCAATATTGTCAGTATTCACTAAATTCACTAAATCAGCATATTAGAATGATTTCTGAAGGATTATGTGACACTGAAAACTGGAGTAATAATAATAATAATAATGGTTATTATTTTAAATTCACTAAATCAGCATATTAGAATGATTTCTGAAGGATTATGTGACACTGAAAACTGGAGTAATGATGCTGAAATTTCAGCTTTGACCACAGGAATAAATCATTCATCCTCCTTCATTAAATCATGGTGTATTTTGTTGGACAGCTACTGTATCTACTGTACAGTTCAGTGTATAAAGCTGAAAACCAAACTCCCTCTATTTCTTTCTGTCTTTCAGGCATGATGGAGTTCAGCATATTTGGCATCCCTTACGTAAGTGTCTCTCTCGTCCTGCCCCAGCACTTGCTGCTGATTTTTACTTGTGCTTTAGTTCAGTTGGGTGCATCCCAGCTAAGTTTTTGGTTCCCAGAATGTTAGTTTTATGGTTTGTTTTTGGTTAGCCAGGAAAGTTTTCTCCCATAATGTTATTGTAACGTTATCAAAACGTTAGTATAATGTTCTCAGAATATTCGGCTTTTTTTGTTTAACAATGTTAAAATAACACTGTCAGAATGTTAGTTTTTGGTTTCCAGACGGTTATTTTGTTAAGGCTTGTTTTTGGGTAGCCAGGAAATTTTCTTAACGGAAATAGAATGCTAGTTTTTGGTTGGTATAACATTATTCTAACATTATTTTAATGTTCCCCTAACCTCTTTACTCCGATATCATTTACTCAGAACGTTCTTTTCTGGTTGCAACATAATAACCTAATAATAACCATTAGGGAACCATTTTTAGGCTATTAAAAATAACCACTCTGCAACGTTATTTTATAGCTGCAAAAAATAATAGCTAAAAAGAATGTTACTAGAATGTTATTTTTTGGTCCTCAAAAAACGGTAGGGGAACATTATGTGTTTGCTGGGACTACACTAGTATGCAGCCATTACACTGACTCTAGAGTTTATTTATTAAAGATTTGGAGTTGGCTCTTGTGGTCCAGTTTTCACAGAGATCCATAGTTATATTTCTCTCGGTCTTCTTTTTCTCTTCTGACTCTCCCTTTCCGCATGTGTTCCAGACCGGTGCTGATATCTGTGGCTTCTTTAACCCTGCCCAATACGAGATGTGCCTGCGTTGGATGCAGCTTGGAGCTTTCTACCCGTTCTCCAGAAACCACAACACCATAAACATGCCAGTAAGAACACACATGGCACCTTTTTATGGACAGATTTAAGATTTTTGGGCCAGTGTTTAAGGGATAGTTCACCCAAAAATGAAAATGCTGTCATCATTTACTCACCCTCAAGCTGTTCCAAACCTGTATACATTTCTGTGTAAAGGAAGATATTTTTTATATTTTCTTCAGAAGTGCTGAATGATTGTAATCCGATGAGTTTTTTGTGACTTTTCGCAGAGGCAGGATCCCGTGGCCTGGGGACCGGAGTTTGCTGCTATCTCTCGTGATGTGCTGAATATTCGCTACACCCTCCTGCCGTATTTGAACACACTGATGTACGAAGCTCACGCTCACGGAAACACTGTGGTCAGACCTCTGCTTCATGAGTGAGTGTCCTCCAGTACTCATGTTTTGTAGTTTTCATAGCTGTGCGATATGGCTGTATATTAGCACGGCTGTAGGTCGAATGCCATAGGTAATCACAACGTGCTGATATACAGTTACGAGTGTGCTTTTGCATTTATACAACACTTAGACGGCACGAGTGTGTAAGTAAATTCAGTGTCAGTAAATACCCTCGTTTGCGACAGAACTACTTCCTTCTGCCACGGATTTAAATCTCAAGTTGACAGACCCTTTCTCAATACCAAATATGGCATATTAATTATGTAAAACACTATTTATTGAACAGCATTTAAATGAATACAAGAACAATAGAAAATAAACACGAGCAAACAATTCAGTACGACGTACAAAAGCAGGATTTATGTTAAATATAGCCTAAATATAAATGTATTAAAGTTAACATAGCCCCTAATCCAAATCTGTTTGCTCTGGAGCAGGTAATAGATTAATAAGAGCAAAGATTGCCTCTTTCCTACATCCAAAATGAATTATAGCTCACGTTTAGGCTCAGCCTCAGACGTCACACCTACAGACCACTGGCTGAACTCTCTGAGGCATATGGCACACTAAACTGGAAACACTTTAGGAGTCTCGAAGTCGTCATCTGATTGGTTGAATTCTACAGGATTTCCGGGAGACGTGCATGTCTCGATCTTAAATAAATCTGTCGTGGCACCAAATCCCTCGTGAAAGAAGAAAGCCATCGTGTTTAAAAATGTGACAGTGAGCATGTGTCAGGATCAACTAAATGCTGGATTTTCAAAAGTATATTTTCATCCAAAGCTATATATAATATATATATATATATAATTATATAATTTTTATATATGAATGAATGAATGAATGAATGATGCATTTATATAGCGCTTTATTGTGTATTGTTGTACACCCAAAGCACTTTACAATCATGTGGGGGGGTCTCTCCTCAAACACCACCAGTGTGCAGCATTTTATTCATAACATGACATAGTTAAATAACACAAGTGAGCTATTTTACTCAATATTCTCACGACGCAAAAAAACATTCAAAACACCTACAAAGTCTAGTGCGCTCTGCCTGATCACTGCATGATTCAGTCTATTAAAATACATTCAGAATGATCACAAATTCAAGACATGGGGACAGAAAATGTGTATATTTCTACTCAAGTTCACACGGAAGAGTGCCTTTTTTTCTCCAGAAATTACCATATACAAATGTGATATTGATTTTTTACAACAGTTCAATAAACTAGAAGTTTTATTAAGAGACTTACTTTTAGAAGCCATATTGCCTGTTTTTGCACTATTTCGCCAACAAAAATAGTTCCAAACGAAGCCACAGCGCTGTTTTGCGTCTCTGAGCAACATGACAGTGTTTCGTTCCTGAATGAATCAACTGTTAATTTATTACAGCATTGATATTTGGTTTTCTTTTTAATTTATACACATTAAATGCATATATGTATGTAATAAAATGTGTATTTCCATTACAGGTTTAGGTCTTAAATTTCATAAAAGTTGGTATTAAAAAGATCTTAAGTCTTAAATTTAACTTGTTCAAGTCTGTAGAAACCCTGGTGTAAAATATGTGGTGGCAGTCGCTGCAGGTGGAGCGAGACAAACAGTGAAGCAGTTCCAGTGCTGATGCTAGGAGAATATCACATGACTGGAAAAGGCTCTCAGCCAATCATATTTGAGAACCAGAATGATCTGTTATGCAGAAACCATGTTCTTAAAAAGTGTTAAAAGTGCTCATTTAAATATCCTCATGTTTTCATGTTATGCTGTAAACCTCTCTCGCGTCAGGATCTGTGTGTACAGTGTTGATTAGATGTTGTTCTCAGTGCTGTGTTCTGTACTGTAGGTTTGTGACAGATGAAAACACATGGAGCATCGACAGGCAGTTCCTCTGGGGTCCCGCGCTTCTCATCACAGCTGCTTTAGACCCGGTATGCACACAAAAACAGCTCCTCTATGTTCACGCTATGAGCCACAGTGTCCAGTATTAATGTTTAAGTTTTGAGGTGGGTGACCCTGAACTAAGCCACGTGCACAGATGAGTTCAATTATCATATTTATTAATTTTATTAACATTAAAATAAGTAATATCAGTTATATTGTATAATATTATTATATACATAATATACACCGTGTAGCCAATATATACATATTATTTCTAATTTTAATATTAATTATTTTTTTCAGTGAAAAATATGGATGGATTTCAATGAATTTATGTAAATATATAATTGTTTATTAATATATTATATAATTCATTCATTTACATATTACTTATTATTTTAATTCTAAAATGATTGTTTAAAATATGTATTTTAATACTATTATTATTAATATTAAATATTTTATATTAAAATGTTTTGTTTTTTTCAGTAATTTGTATGTCTTTTATTAAGTCACACACTCTCATAGGGCTATATTCAGTCAGTAAGGAGAGGTCGGGTGTTTTTATGACTGTTGTTTATTAATTTGTCATTGATTTTGATTTGTGAAGGGCGTGAGTGTGGTCAGGGGCTACGTGCCAAACGCCCGCTGGTACGACTACCACACGGTAAGCATTTTATCAGCATGCAAGTAAGCATTTCTATAAGCAAGCATTCAAATCTAGCGAGATCTTAGTAGCATGTCAATTGAAGAACCAGTCATAATGCAGCTGACTTCCAAACAAATTCAACCTGCCATACTTTGTCCTCTGTATATTGGGTTGTATGTGATTTATCTCCCAGGGTGAAGTTGTTGGAGTGCGAGGACAGTTCATGAATATGGATACACCGTTATCGAAAATTAACCTGCATGTGAGAGGAGGCCACATCCTGCCCTGGCAGAAACCAGAGAACAACACACACTACAGGTGCATCTTTATAAAGACTTGAGGCTGTTTTTCTACAGTTGCATAGTTTTATTTTTCCACTTTTAAAAGGTTTCTTTCTCCACAAACAGTCAATTTTCTTTTATATGTCCACATTGGGGCTGTCTGACCAATCAGAGCAGAGTTGACCAATCACAACAGACTGAGAATCTGACCAATCAGAGCAGTAGACCAACCACAAGAGACTGAGCATCTGACCAATCAGAGCAGAGTTGACAACCACAAGAGACTGAGCATCTGACCAATCAGAGCAGAGTTGACCAATCACAACAGACTGAGCATCTGACCAATCAGAGCAGAGTTGACAACCACAACAGACTGAGCATCTGACCAATCAGAGCAGAGTAGACCAACCACAAGAGACTGAGCATCTGACCAATCAGAGCAGAGTTGACAACCACAACAGACTGAGCATCTGACCAATCAGAGCAGAGTTGACAACCACAACAGACTGAGCATCTGACCAATCAGAGCAGAGTAGGCTCTCAGAAAGGCGGGCTTTAGATCGAACCGTTTCAGACACTGTGAGAAGTGAGGTTATGTTGCAGTGGATATTATATATTTACATTACATTACATTTATCATTTAGCAGATGCTTTTTTCCAAAGCGACTTACAAATGAGGACAATAGAAGCAATCAAAATCAACAAAAGAGCAAAGATATGCAAGTGCTATAACAAGTCTCACTTAGCTTAATGCAGTACACGTAGCAAGGTTTTTTTATTATATAATAAATAAAAAGAAAACAGAATAGAAAAAGAATAGAGCGAGCTAGTGTTAGATGCCTTTTTTGCTTTTGTTGTATAATAAATAAAAAGAAAAGAAATAGACAGAATACAAAAAGAATAGATACGCTAGTGTTAGTTTTTTTCAAGAAAACAAGCAGTTAGTAAATGAATAGAGTGCATATTATGATAAAATGAAAGTGTTTTTTGACCTTGGACACACGTAAACCTATTGTAGGAAGTTCTAAAACAAAATTAGGAACCTTTAAAATATCATAATACAATCATTTAAATGTAGGTGTTCATGTGACGCCACAACACTAATGTAATGTTCCTTTTTTCCTCGTAGTCGTCTGAATCCTCTGGGTCTTCTTGTTGCTCTTGATGATGGAGGTTCAGCACATGGATCCTTGTTCTGGGATGACGGAGAGGGAATTGGTAAGTTATGGATGTTTGTATCCGTGTGTGTGCAGGAATGGGAATCGCAAGGAATGTAATGGTTTTGATGGAACTTGATGATCATAATTCCACTAGCTGTTTATTTCACCCAAACTCATTGGACAAACGTGCCTCTGGCAGCATTTCAGCAGTGCTTTCGTGAGTGGCGCTAAAGGCACATGCAGTTTTATCCCAAACACATGAATGTGAATCTGGCAATGTTTTATTACGCTGGTTGGTGGTTGTTGTAAAAGGTTAATGCTCGATCGTATCTGAAAATACTGTACCAGCAGCACTAAGCTCCACGCTTAACCTAGTTGATAATGTTAACGTTTTTCACTTTACTATGTGCGCTACTGAACAAGCTTTTTACATCAGAGAAGCTGTATATATGGAGCTGGTCATGTGATGCAGGTGTCAAAATGTATTGGTTTACAATATTACGTTTTTGGATTTTTGCAATAAAAAATGTAGGCATGTCGTTTTTTGTTTTTGTTTTCTTACTTTTTGCATAATTTTATGTAAGGTTTTATCAGCATTGCAAACATTAAAACAGTATTCTGAATATGTATCTATATATTATTTTCTGTATTTTGTAGGTAAATCATTCTAAACTCAAAGTCATTGTATCACATTTTTTTCTCCTGTTCTTCTCTTAATCTTCTATTCTTGTTTCTCCTTACAGATACTGTTCAGAACAAGCGTTTCCTCTTGACGTCTTTCTCTGTGTCTTCGGTACGTTAATATGTTTTGAAGAAAGCTGTGTGTGCAGTTCTTTCAGATTTATTTGGATTGAGGTCATTCAATCCAAGAATGTCCATCTCACTTAAAGCCTCTCTCTGTTTAGAAACATTTCTTCTCTATGTATATACATTTGCATTACTTACTGTCAAGCGTTTTCGTTTGCAATAGGATTTTTGCTCATACTGTAAACATGCATGTGTGTATAGTGTTGTGTAGCAGCTGTCCTGTGTGATTGTATTTGTAGGGTGTTCTTACCAGCGCAGTTCTCACAGATGGTCTGGCCGAGGCCGACAGGTTGACCCTGGGTGTCGTGAAGGTGTGGGGTGTGTCAGCGCCCGTCACTCAAGTTATCATGAAAGTGACTGGAAAGCCCGATGCCAAATTGGAATTCACGTATAACGCTGAGGTGAGATACGTCATGCTAACATGTACTTTAGTTTGATACTGTCATCGAAGCACTTTTATGGGAGCTTGTTTCCACCACTAAATACAAAAAGATAATTGTGACTCTTTTTTTCTCAGAATTGTGAGATATAAACACAATTGCGAGTTATAAAGTCAGAATTCCGTGATATAAAATCGTAATTGTGTATTAGAAAGTTCGACTTTGTAAGACACAATTGTGAATTTATATCTTGCAAATACTGAGAGAGAAAAAACCTATTGCAAGTTTTAAAGTTAGAAATGTGTGATTACGTACAATTGCGAGTTATAAAGTCAGAATTGCAAAATATAAACTCAAAAAAAGTACACATTTATTAGATAGTTATGAATTAGATTAATGTATTTGCCAAATGATTAAGTTATTGATGTTGAGTTTTCATTTTGAAACCTACATTTATAATTGAGTGGATCTCATGAAAATGCCCTTGTCATATTTTAAACCCCAAAACAATACAAGAAATATACAAATATATTTAAAAAAGATAGATTTAATATTTAAAATGTGAAATTTTATATTTTAAGCAATATAAATAAGCCTTTATAAATGATTATTATGTATTTAAATTGAACATGATTTAAGGGAACTATTTAATTCATGCTTGTAATAATTCACCCTGAAATCAATACAAAGAAATATGTTGTTGTATTTTTTATTATTATTCTTTGCCATTTTTAAATGTGATTTTAATATTTTAATTTTTATTATTTTCATGACGCAAAAAAAAAAAGTTGAAAATTGGTTAAATGATTTTGATGAGTTAAAATAATGTAAAAGCAAGTTGTTATAACTTATTGATCATATCAGTTTTGGAAATCATGTAAGTATGTGGTTTATGCTGTCTCTTCTCTTCCTCTCCCTCAGGTTCAGGAGCTGCAGTTTGATGCAACATCACAGTCTCACACCATCGAGAAGCCTTTCACCATCACCTGGAGCTCAGCTTAGACTTGGACAAATCTATGGAGACAGGCTTAAACAGAGTAATTATGTACTGATTATTTATGTTTATTTACCAATGATCAGTCAACTAGTAATTCGTTTAGCTGCAATAAAACTGCAATAAAGTGATTTAAACCCCATTAAGGCTGTGACTGATTGGCTATTTTATGGTCATGTTTGATTTAATCTATGAAGAAATGTTTTGTTTCTTTGCTGCATGCAGTCAGGCGCATTAAACATCATTCTGATTCAAATAAATCAAAAACACACAGAGACTGTTGTCTTGCTATAACCAACCCTGCGTGCTGGAATACATTAGAGAAGACATTATGAAAAACAGAAAACATTGAAATAACAGATGGCACATGCTGATCCAGAACTCGTGCTTCGTTTTCATGCAGGTTCATATTTACAGCTGGGCGGTTGATGAAATAAGGACAAAATTTAAAGTACATCTGGAGTAACGAATAAAAGAATAATGTGTGGTTTTATTATCAATGATCAACTTTCTAATTGTCTTCATTTAACCATGCAAATTTAAGAGAAATATGGAAATGTTTTACAGCTTTTATGAAGCTTTGTTAATAGTTGATACAAATACAATTGTTCATTGAAGGGCTGTGAAATAAATTGTAATAGTTTCAATTTCAGTTTTGGCTTCCAAAGATTATGAAAAGAAGATAATCAAGACAAAATGATTATTGTGCTGCTGCCGCCTTCCATCCAACACAAGTCCCTTTCTTCATCATTATTGTCCTTGGTGTGAACGGGCCTTTAATAAAGTAACAAGCAAATAATTGGTGGTCCAGGGTCAGGAATAAACATCAATCATTTACATAAACAGGTCTAACAAAGCAACAACTACTCACAACAGTAAATAATTAGTGTTTGTTATGTAGCCAATCACAATTCAGTATGTACAGGTGCATCTCAATAAATTAGAATGTCGTGGAAAAGTTCATTTATTTCAGTAATTCAACTCAAATTGTGAAACTCGTGTATTAAATAAATTCAATGCACACAGACTGAAGTAGTTTAAGTCTTTGCTCTGGGTTTTTATTGGTCTAATGAAGTATTCTAATTTATCAAGAATTGGTGTGTTTTAGTGAAATGTGAGCCAAAATCATCCCAATTAAAAGAACCAAAGACTTAAACTACTTCAGTCTGTGTGCATTGAATTTATTTAATACACGAGTTTCACAATTTGAGTTGAATTACTGAAATAAATTAACTTTTCCACGACATTCTAATTAATCGAGATGCACCTGTATATATTCCAATAATGTCATCGCTGTGGTCATTTTCTTAGTGTTTTGGTCTTGTTTTCCTTTACAACCATCTAATCAATTGTTAATCCTCATATGCTCCACGTTTCCTGATTACACTACTGGTATTTGGGGTCAATAATTGATGACGTAATTGTAAAAAATATATACATTTTAATCATACAAATAATATATCAATTTTTCATTTACTTCTCATCTATACATTAATGTTGTGTTTAGGGAGATATTAAGTACTTTTGTACCTATTTACCACAAAAATCCTCAACTATACCAATAGCTTGAATGTGAAATATTACATTTTTATGAAAAAATCACTTAAATGATTATCCAAATTGAATTGAAGTTGTTTCTGGATATTGATCTAGGTCTTAGGTGTAGAGTTCTGCCATCTGTTGGTTAGAGATAAACCTTAAAGTACTACAGTAAGAAAGAAATAGTTTTGACCAGCAGAGGGCCATAGAGAGCCATTCATTTTACTGGATGTGGCCAACTGCTTCTATCACAACTTTTGCGACACATGTTGTGAATTTATGTATATATAAACATTAGAAAACATTACAAATAAATATTCTTTCAAATAGTACTTTTTTTTAGTTTTTGATGCATTTTGAAATGTCTGTGTTTACAAAATGCCACAGAAATTTGATGTGAAAATGCCACATAAGACACACCTAAAGGACAAGACCGAGTCAGATTGTAGTTGCATATTATTGATTTTAATGAACCATGTGTAAAAGATAATTAATTTTAGTAAATAGAAGAAATTAATTAAATCATATGTAAATAAAACCAACAGCAATATGCAGAAATGAACCGGACTGAAGAGTGAATATTGAATGAATAACAATAACATTTCTTACAATCACATTCTGAACACTGAACATAAAATCAATAACAACCAACAAAAAAACATGTAAAACACATGGTAAGACAATAATCAGTCCACGCGCATCCGGCACAAGAACACTGTGTGAGCAGCACAAATGGCTCTTTTGCAGTTTGCGCACTGCTTGTCAGTTTTCGAATCGTTGGCCCATGGACAAACCTGACACCTTTTTTTCTTTGATGGTGGAGGTTCAGTGGAGGGCCCTGGAGCGTCGGAAGAATCTGTTGTCTCTTTAGGATTGATGCAGAGGCTGGTGCATGAGGCAGGTGTTGCCGTCGCTCCATGTGAGGGGACACCAGAGCTTTCCCCAGCTGCTCTAGAAAGAGCCTCCTTTTCATATTCTTCCCTCTCTCCCATGATGGATTGACTTCTCTCCACACCACAAAGGCATTTATGGCCGAAACATCAAGGATTGTAGAGAAGACAAGCATTGGCCGACAATTTGTCTTGTGCTTGCAGCTGTAGGTTGCAACCATCTGCAATATTTCAAACACACACACACAAATTAGTATATCTACTGGCAAAATAAATGCCACTCGCTCTATCATCAACTTTGAAAAATTAGCAAAATAATGCATCAAATCATAAAATTTGTAAATACCTTGTCAAGGTTGTCAACTCTGCCTTTGCAGTGATTGTAGTCCAAGATGACCTCTGGCTTCTTGTCCTCCCTGTCACTGATTTTGGCATCCTTGTGACAGCACATTTTTACCCCTTTTGGGGCAGTATGACACAAGACTGTGTGTCTCAGTGAATGCAAAACGAGAGGAAAACACAGCTCTGTCTCTCGTTGTCAGAAGAGCATGTGGGAGTTCAGGTTTGTTTTTGCGAACTCTGCCAACCATGGTCAACTTCCTTTTCAGGAGCTCCTGGACAAGAGCATAAGAAGTGAAGAAATTATCACACGTGACTGTGTGTCCCTGGAGTCCAGCGGTCAAATCAAGGACCACACGCATGCCCTGATTTCTCTCTGGCTGTCCATCTCGTGGCTTGCCTGTGTAAATTTGCATGTTCCATGCATAGCTCGTCCTGGCATCAAACGCTGCCCAGATTTTTATTCCATATTTCGCCGGCTTACTAGGCATGCACTGCTTGAACAAGCATCGACCTCGAAATGGCACCAGGCACTCATCGACCATTATGTCCAGACCAGAGTTGAACATTAGTGGGAGACGCTCAACCCATAAATTCCACAGATCCCGAATTGGTGCCAGCATGTCACTTTCACGCCGAGAAGGTCTTGTGGCCCTGTCATCGAATTGGATGACTCTTGACAAAATTTGAAATATTCTCAGTGGCATGACAGCATGAAAAATTGCACGCCCAGTTTCAGCCTCCCACAAACTGGACAGGGCCTCATTGTTGGAGCGATAAACTCCCGCAAGAAAGAGCAGACCAATAAATGCATCCATATCTGTCCAATCCACATCCCTCCAGTCAGCACCATATACATGCTTTCCTTCAACATTTATCATCTCCACCAAGATGCTTTGGATGCTTGATGGAAAAAAGAATAAAAAGTTGACTTTATGTCCTCTACACAAGAGCACGCATACCTTGTTGGTCCAGGAGTCAGCTTTGTAACTCATGCAGCTGAAGATCTCCCTGGCCCCTGTGGAGGTGGAGTAGTAGACCAGGTTATTTGCCCATTTTTAGAACTGAAGGTTTGGTCTGCATCTGCCTCCTCACAGTCCTCGTCCGATTCATGGTACTCCTCTTCCAACCCTGTGTTGTCTTCAGGGGGATTGCAGTCCTCTGGCTCAGAGTCTTTCAGGCCTTCTTCATTTTCGCTGGAATCCAGCACATAGTCCAGGGTCTCGAGGAGAGTGTACCTCTTTGCCATACTGCCAGCACAGAATGAACCATGTGCAGGACACCAAAGACGTTCTTTTATATTTTTTATGTGGGAACAATTTCTTTGTTTTCAAAACACAGACACAGCTCTTACATCTCAACAAACTTTCTCAAATTGGAAAAGGTCAGTTGTCTTTCATCTCTGTTTCTTCTCTCTCTTGGTCTCTCTGCATGTGTGTGTGCGCATGTGCATGAATTAGGTCTCACTCACACGTGTTCTGCATGTGTGGCTGATTTCATTGGGCAAATTTGATACAAATGCTCTCTGTAACAATCATACATACAGAGTTCTGGCATGAAACTCTAGATGGCGCAGTCCAATAGATCTAACTCAATCTGACCTAATGACATCATTATCACATGTCACCGCTGACTGGTTCTCTCCTGTATCGGTAGCCAATGAGCTCGCTGCTCAGCATTCAAATATTTGACTCGGGCTTACCGTAGCAGTTGCAGCTTGTTTCAGAAACCCTCCACCTTCCCCAGCTCCACCTGTAGAGATCTGCTTCGAGGTGATTCATGTACACTATGGGGGTTATTTCATGTATGTAATATTTCTTACATGCTCACAGCAGCATGTTGTGGATGTATTGGCAGTAGCAAGTCTCGGTATACTTGCTCTGCAGCAGCAGCAGCAGCGTAGCAGATCTATTCTGCCAAGACCAAATACATTAACATTGTCATGTACAATATCATGCCAATCCCTCAGAGAGTTGTCATGACAGAACTGTGTGTGTGTGTGTGTGTGTGTGTATGTGAGAGAGAGGTTCTACTGAGTGTGTGTGTGTATGAGAGTGAGGTTCTATTGAGTGTGTGTGTGTGTGTATACAGGTATATATGGTTTATGAGGACACAAATGTGTATAATGACATGGGTACTACAACGTAAACATGGTTTATGAGGACACTTCCTGTGTCGGTTTCATAAAACACCAAAACGGTGTTTTATGAAATTCAAAAATTGCCAGCAGTTTCCTGTAAGGGGTAGGTTTAGGGGTAGGGCAACAGAAAATAGTTTGTACAGTATAAAAACCATTACGCCTATGGAGAGTCCTCGTAAACCACAAATACAACTGTGAGCATGTCTTTTCTACATTGCATTTGTGCTCTAGTACCAGACCTTCATTTCTGTATGGAAATGTTCAGATTTATGCCATATTTATTGTTTTATTTTTACAAATGAAAAAAATATATTTATATATATATATTTTTTTGCATTTCCCATTCATTTTCAATTTTGGTCATATTGACCCCAAATACCAGATTAGTAAAAAATAAAAATACATACCTTCAGAACAACCGAATGAAGCCCAATTAATTTTATGTTAATATAGATAGAAAATGTAGAAAAGTCACAAAAATCTTATTTCACTGAGATGAAGGGAACCATTTTTTTTAACTAAGGAAAGCTTGATTGGGGTCATATTGACCCCAAGGAGAGATTGAGGGTTAAATGAAAATATGTTTACGTTCAGTCTTGTTCAGATGGTTTGTCTCTCCAGTAAACGGTCGGTGATTTTCTCTCTGTCGCACTCCTGCAGCCCGCAGAATCCGGTCTGGACTTCAACACCTGCCATCAGGTACAGGCATTTCTACTTAAGTACCTGTATAGTCGGGGTGAGCATGATTTCACCAAGTACAACATGTTCCTCGATCAACATCCTTGTTGATCCTGGAACAAAATTCCAATCAACCAATCAGAATTGAGGGATAACTTTTCAGGAAATGTCTGTTTTAGGCTTACAATCAGGGTTAGGTTCTTCTACACCCTTGTTAATCAGCTATCATTTCACACTGATTTTAGGAATAAATTATGGGTAGGGTTAGGTTTAGGGGTAGGGATTGGGTTTAGTCTATATTTTTGGACAGTAATATTGATCCGTATAGTAAGATAGTTAGTTTTTTTGTCATTTCATTCTCAATTTTCCCTTTAACCCCTTAACTGTCAGTCCCATAAACTCCAAAATGACATTTGCAACTTTATATATCTTAAATACTTGGTCTGTTTTTAAAGGGAAACTTGGCAGATTGTAGAAGAGAAAAAGTTATGAAAGTAAAATAAAAAAAGTTCAGTTTAAATTTGTATGTAAAATGTGTAGGCAAAAAATATATTTTATGTATATATGTATATTTGCAAAAAAAATTTACTGTAAAACTGCAGGAAAATTTTGGGGGGAAAAGTTGTTCCAAATTTTAGGTTGATGTCTCAAATTGAGCATTTAGTCAGATTTTGTTTGGGCGCAGTACCAAACGTTTCCACTAGATGACATCCAGGCTCCAATGGTGAGCACGTAAGGACACTTTTTCATTTCCATACATGGTTTGAGTGACCAGGGCCCGTATTCATAAACATTTTCTCTTACCACTAAGAGTTCTCCTAAATAGCAGTAAAAGTTTATAGCTAAGAGTTTTCTCTTAAAACCTATTCACAAAGCTGCTGAGACAAACTTGTACTAAGGAATAGAGAGAAGTCTTAAGCTAAGAGTAAGAGGGCGGGGTTGACCTTGTTGCTATGGATGATGTCATCAAGCTTATTAACTATGCACACAGTGATTGGCTGATAGTCTCTGTCAGAGATTTATTCATAGAAATATCGTAGAGCACAATATTATGTTGCCATATTCAAATAAAGGTTTAAAAATAAAACTGCTAATTGCCACATTCAAATAGAGATTTTAAAATGCAGGCTACGTGTCACTAATTAAACAAGTATATGTTCATCTTATTGTCAGCCTCTTACATGTGTGCTTCTCATAATTAGTGAATATGCATACAAACAGCCTTTTAATTAACGGAGTAGAATAATCATGGCTGATAAAGACATGCAAACGTAAAAGAAAACCAAACAGGATGCAAGCTGTTAATTCTTGCCCAACTGGGATATAATCAAAGGAATATCTGGAGTTGGGTAACCTCCAAAACCAAAGGTGATACCTTTATAAAAACTCATTATCAGCAAATGTTTCTAAAATGTTTAGGTTCTGAGGCAGATTGCGGACAACAGCTATTTTAGGATAGTTTGTGGCTTGGTCTTAGTGACTTAGGAGTCCTCTTCACTACTCCTAACCTGTCACAGATTTAGGAGCTAGTTTTAGTGATAAAACGCTTTGTGAAACAATCTTAGAGCAAAAATTTAGAAGTCCCAAATGTAGGATTGACACGCCCATTATTTTTAGGATTTTCTCCTAAATCGGCGAGTTATGAGCTACTTTTAGCCTGAAGATGTTTTGTGAATACGGGCCCTGAACCATATATTTCCTTAATTTTTTATACATCTTATGAAGTAGTATGGGCAGTTTAGCAGTATTTGGTTTGAATTAAACCTCTAAAAATCATAAAAAGACATGCATGTCATCAGATGTTTTGTCTTTATATTTAAAACATCTTAAGACCTTTTTTTTTCTCCAAAAATAGAACGGATATTATTGTTTGAACTCTAACATGAAAACAAACTTGGTGTAACGATTCAGTCCACTGAAGGCAAGCGTAGTGAAGAACCCATGTGCAGTTTATTCAAACAAGGTGAAATCCAAAATACAAACATATTCCAAGACTAGAAACACAGACTTGATGAGGCATGAACAGACTAGACTCACCGACAGCGGGTTACAACGGCAACATGATGGCTACTTATAGCAAACAAGAGGGTCACATGACAAGAACAAACCAATGGGAAACAAGACACATGACTAAGACAACCAATCAGAACATGACACAATCAACAGAGGAAACAATAGCATGAAGACAAGAGGGCAAGGGAAGCATGACACTAACAGCATAAAACAATTACAAAATAAGAGACATGAAACATGAACAAGAAACAAAACCCAAACACCAAACCCCACATTACATATCCCCCCCCCATCTAAAGGTGGCTCCAGACACCCAAACAAACACAAACAAAACCCAACAAGTCCAGGAGGGTGGTAGAGTGAAGGCGGAACAGGTGGAGGGATGGAGGGCCAGGCCCATGAAGCGAAACAGGCAGAGTGGGGGGGCCATGGCGGAGCAGGCAGAGCGGGGCGGCCGGGTGGTGATGGCAGAGCAGGAAGCTATGGCGGACAATGGATATTTCCTCCCTGTTGGCCTGGTAAATCAACAGTAGCTCTGTGGCCGATGACATTTCAACCACACCTTCTGCTTTGCTCAGGTTGAAGCCAGCCTCAGCCACGTATATGAAGTTGTGAGATGGTTCACTTGACTCCAATTCCACATTGCATTGCAAGGGAAGATATTTGTTGTGATGGACCGACAGACTGGCACGTCAGCAGGTGTAGACAGACTGCACTGCAGTTCCTCAAACAGTGCTGCATGAGCAAAGTTCTGCCTAAGGGGTGTTTCCTGTATTTGCCTTTCTAATTTTTCTTTATTTTCACCTTTGTGCCCATATTTCTTTTCTATATCACATTGACATTTTTTTTTGTCAGACCACTAGTAAAGTGTTACTGTGAATCCTATCCAGTCTCTTTCTATCAATATCCCACATACAGTAATGTGTAAATTTGTACTTTTGAAATGGATATATGGCATACATACGAAGTGCAGCCTTCTGCATTTCAATACAGTAACTGTCATCCAAACTGTTGCCATAGTTTACTTTAGGTAATACTAACAAAGTGCACTGTTATATTGACAACATGACTAAGCATTTTGACTATCTAGTTTGTGAACAATGACACAAGGCCTTTTCATTCTGATGGCACTGATATATTCATTGACATAAATACTTACTGTTGAGAGATGAACTAAAGATTTTGAGTAAGTTACAGGCTTTTGCAGGTTATCCATGTTGTGGTGCTGTTTGTACGAATTGTTTTGAGAAATGCACATACTGCTTTGCAAATATTAAGGATGACACGAGTAATGCACCAAAGCGACTCAGAAAAACTGTAATATAAACATTCGCATAATTTATAAAAAACTTATAAATAACAAGGTATAATAACTATATCCAAAGCCAAACTAAGATTTCTTATATACAACTGCCGCCCAATCATTTTATTCAATAACTAGACAAAAAGGTTTGTCAAGACAAATTTTCAAGCCAGACCTGAAAGTTTGAAAAGGTTTTAAAAGCTTAATGTTTGAAGGTTTTGAGTTTGAGGTAGTTTGAAATTTAAAGTAGTTTTAAAAATTAGTTGTTTTGAAGGCAATGAAGTCTATCAGAAAAGTAGACGGACGGACGGACAGATAGACAGATAGATAGATAGATAGATAGATAGATAGATAGATAGATAGATAGATAGATAGATAGATAGATAGATAGATAGATAGATGAACGGATGGATGGATGGATGGATGGATGGATGATGGACGGACGGACGGACGGACAGAGGTGGACGGATGGATGGATGCACGGATGGATAATGGACGGATGGATGGATGGAAGATAGATAGATAGATAGATAGATGAACGGATGGATGGATGGATGGATGGATGGATGATGGACGGACGGACGGACGGACAGATAGATAGATAGATGATGGACGGATAGATAGATAGATAGATAGATGACCGGACGGACAGATAGATAGATAGATAGATAGATAGATAGATAGATAGATAGATAGATAGATGATGGACGGATGGACGGACTGATAGATAGATACGTTTGTTGACTTAATACATAACACATAAGACACTCTTTTTCGCCACCTGCTGGCGTATTTATTTAATATGAAGAAATGGTCACTGAACGAATCAGTGAACAAATCATTTTAGTGAACAAACTGAAAATGAACAAATCACTTGAAAGAATTGAAATTTCCACAACTAGTAATGGGGAACGTTTATTGCTCATTTTCTGTATGTTTTAATCCCAAATTAAATAACCATTTTGTTTTTCATAGCTTACTACTAAAATAACCAATGTGAAGAATGTCATGAATATGACGTGTCGTTTCCCCCACACAAAAACGTAATCGACATTAATCGTTATTGTCGCATCAACTTGATAACATTTAAGGACATAAAAAGACTTAAATGCCTTAAACGGTACAAGAAAATACTTTATTATAATTTCAAGAGGGCTTAAAACTTGAGGACAGAAAGGCAAGAATCATATATCTTAATGTGATGGTTAAACTTCATAAGGGTATGATTTCATTGAATAAACAAACAAAACAATGTCAAAATGCGGCGCGGGTGTTTTTTTTAATAGCACAATAAAATCTGATTTAAAGTGAAGAACTCAAGTATGTAAACATGTATTTTACCACAGTTGTAACACAGTGTTGGAAAATCTTGAAAATGCACCCTGAAAGTGCTTGAATTTTACTTTGGAAAAGGTGTAAGTACCCTGGTGTTAGTGGTAAATGCTGAAGCAAACATCACTATTACTATTGCTTAGATAGATAGATAGATGATGGACGGATGGACGGACTGATAGATAGATACGTTTGTTGACTTAATACATAACACATAAGACACTCTTTTTCGCCACCTGCTGGCGTATTTATTTAATATGAAGAAATGGTCACTGAACGAATCAGTGAACAAATCATTTTAGTGAACAAACTGAAAATGAACAAATCACTTGAAAGAATTGAAATTTCCACAACTAGTAATGGGGAACGTTTATTGCTCATTTTCTGTATGTTTTAATCCCAAATTAAATAACCATTTTGTTTTTCATAGCTTACTACTAAAATAACCAATGTGAAGAATGTCATGAATATGACGTGTCGTTTCCCCCACACAAAAACGTAATCGACATTAATCGTTATTGTCGCATCAACTTGATAACATTTAAGGACATAAAAAGACTTAAATGCCTTAAACTGTACAAGAAAAGACTTTTATTATAATTTCAAGAGGTCTAAAACTTGAGGACGAAAAGACAAGAATCATGACATGGCTTAATGTGACAATTAACTTCATAAGGGTATGATTTCATTGAGTAAACAAACAAAAAAAAGTCAAAAACCTGCTGGCAATTTGCTATTGTTGTTCAAAATAAATAAAAGGTGCCTTCAAAAATCCAAACGATTAACAAAGCAAGATGTGTGTGTTTTAAATTAAGATAATTTATAATTTTGACTAATCCCTGTTCTTAAAAATAGTTTAAAGGCTGAAATGTGAGGTTTATTACTCTATAAAATGTTTTGTATTTGTGAAAAACCTGCTTTTGAACTGCAAATTATGTTTTTTACAGTCATTTTATGGTACCAGTCATTAATATGTTACCATCATAGACATTGCCCTACTCTGCTCATAAAGTATTCCTTTTATTTGTGCAGGTCTTAAAAAGCCTTACATTTTATTTTTAAAATCCTGCAGATACCCTGTTAATTCTTTCTTTTTTTAAATTTGTAATTTATATTCTGCATGTTGGCTATTTATATTAGGCAGTGCAATCCAGACAGGTGGTTTTTAATAGCACAATAACATCTGATTTAAAGTGAAGTATGTATGGAAACATGTATTTTACCACAGCTGTAAAGTGTTGGAAAAGCTTGAAAATGCACCTTGAAATTGCTCTTGTGTTTGAACTTGCATAAACTGCTTAGACTAGTCTTAAAAGTTCGTCATCTACAAAATGATGACCAGTCTGGAAGAAATAATTTAAAGTAATTTCCATAAAAAGGTAGATCAGTTTGATTGCATTTGGAAAAGATAAACGGGTTAACTGTAAATTCATCAAACTACTTCTTAAGACACAGTCTTAACATAGTGTATAAGTTGATGCAACTGGCCCCACAAGACCTTTCGTCTGTGTACGAGTGAGGTGCATGCACATTTAGTTCTTGGGAGCTGAATGCATGCATTATGAGGATTTCTCAATTAAAACCTTGTTCACACCATCCCTATATTCTCAAGGGACGTGCATCTGGGTGGAATGCCTTCAACTTTTCAAAGAAGCTAGGTAAGATACAATTTTCAGCTCTCTCTTTAGGAATAGTGCTAGCGTTTGGCTGCTAAGGGAGTTGAAGGCACTCACAGCGATGCATTCATGTCTGTTCTCGGCTCTTTTTCAGATGCAGAACAGTGTGTTGAGACTGCCTTTGAAGTGGAGCATTGCTACACTGTAAAAAGTAATGAGTTGAACTTACTTGGAAAACCTGTGGAAACTGATTGCCTCAAATTTCTCAAGCAAATTAGTTTATCATTTTTGAGTTAATAAAACTTACTGTAACTTTGTATAGGTAACTTGTGTATATGTATAGGTTACTATACATATTGTTGTGCTAACAATCTGTTTTCTGTCTTTGTATTAACAACGACAGAAAACAGATTGTTAGCACAACAATAGGGCATTTATTTGTTACATATACACAAGTTACCTATACAAAGTTACAGTAAGTTTTATTAACTCAAAAATGATAAACTAATTTGCTTGAGAAATTTGAGGCAATCAGTTTCCACAGGTTTTCCAAGTAAGTTCAACTCATTACTTTTTACAGTGTAGCAATGCTCCACTTCAAAGGCAGTCTCAACACACTGTTCTGAACAATTGTACCTTCCAAAATGATTGCAGTAGACATGGTATTAAATGCAGTGAGTTAGGTATGGCTCTAGAGTCCTCAGCTCAGGGATCACGCTCAACAGGCCGACTGACATCTCTTCTTCATCATAGTCCTAGAAACAGGAGCACAATATGACAAAAATAAGTAATTACATTTTAAGAGTACATATTCAGGTTAAACATTTGCAAACAAATTAATATCTGTGCATTATGTTTAGATATAAAGGCCTTTTCAAACTGAGCACAGCAGTGGATCCCAGATAAAAATAAAAAAAAGACATTCAATCTGTTGTACAAAAAGACAAGACAAACTGAACAGTATGCCTCCTTTCACTTTGAGAGTTGTCCTACTGAGGCATTTGCTGCTGGGGAGCAATATCTAGTTGTTAGGATATCCGTAAGCCTCCCTGATAGCCTCGTCATACTGAGATTTCAGCCTTTAGAGCTCGTTTAGGTAGTAGTGCCAGGTGGCTAGGTTCTCTGTGGTCTTCCTGGGGTGCTTCTTCTAGAATAGAAAGTCACTAGGTCTCTTCTCACTAGAGGGTCATCCTTTTGAGATGTTCACTCTGGAGATTTCTGCCTGAATAGCAACTCCAGGTCACTAGCCTTTCTGTGAGCCTCCTTGGAAGATGTCCTGACCACAGAACTTAGGCCTCCTCTGGCTTAAGAGAGTCATCCTGCTGAAGCTTCTGTTCTCAGATCTCCAGTCAGTGACATTATTCCCTTAAAGGTATTCTCAGGAATACCAAGCCATGAGCTCTGCCTATGGTTAAGCCTTTCTGAGAAGGATTAAGCAAGGACTTTCTCTGTTACAGTTTTTAGTGTTGGTGTATACCTTAAGGACAGGGATTTATTTAGAGGAGTTGAATTTAATGTCAGACCAGAGGTCTCCAAACGTAGTCCTGGAGGGCTGCTGTCCTGCAAAGTTTAGCTGCAACCCCAATTAAACTCACCTGAACCAGCTAATCAAGGTCTCACTAGGCATACAAAAAACATTAAAGCAGGTGTGTTGGAGCTGGTTTGAGCTAAACTCTACAGGGCAGTGGTCCTCCAGGACCGAGTTTGGACACCCCTGTGTCAGTCAATAAGACAAATAGCGGAGTGGGTATTTTGTTCCCTATAGCATGCTGTAGGGGATGCAGTGCCAGTTCCTATCTGAAAAGGAACATATCAGGTTATGCTTGTAACCATGATTGCCTAAGAAGTGCAATGAGAAACTACGTCTTCTTGCCATGCTTCGTGTGTTACGAACATCTCCTTCAGAAAAGAAGTGAATGCCGTGTGCCCTTTTTATACTCACAGTTTTATACACACCAGTAGTGACATTATAGGCTGTCGCCGGCAAATGTCATGTTCTTTGTTGTGTTTAGACTTGTGCTTCAGACACTGGTCATGCTGGTGGCATTCCTCCATAGTGTTCTCTAGGGTACGCAGTGTCTTGTTCCCCTTTTCTTACCAAAATAAAATTATTAGATTGTAAGGAATTTTAACTCAGTTGTAAGGGAATTAATTATTAATTCAGGTTTTAGAGGAAGAGGATCTGAAGAGCCTAATTCAACCTGATTCGAACTGATTCTAAATTTGATAGTTCACACTTTAAATCAAGGGTCGTCCAGCGAGCCGGTGATTCTCAGTATATTTTAACAAATTAAATATGTGTTTTCCTGGTCACGGTCAACACACTTATGATAATTTGTTATCTCTTAGAAGGGTAATTATTATGAGTAAGCTACGAGCTAGGCAGCAAGCAAGGATCTTTTGGCAAAGGTTTTAACCTTGAAATTATATGACACCAACATTATTCTTTATAAATGAAACTTTATTGGCTATTCTAGATTACATCAAACTAAGCTAAAACACAAATACACAGTTTCAGAGGAAGAAAATTATGTTAACGGAGTTCTGAGTTTCATAGTTCTACCTCGTTTTCACGAGTGATGTAAATTCAGCTTAAGAATTTACAGAGCAGAGAATTTTGTCTTAAATTTGACTGCTTATCTACAAACCCAATTCCAGAAGAGTTGGGACACTGTACAAATTGTGAATAAAAACAGAATGCAATGCTGTGGAAGTTTCAAATTTCAATATTTTATTCAGAATACAACATAGATGACATATCAAATGTTTAAACTGAGAAAATGTATAATTTTAAGGGAAAAATTTGCATTGGGTTTTTGCTCCGCTACATAAGTCCGTCCCCCGACGCGATCTTCCAATCGACTTCTTGCAAGGCGGAGCGTGCATACATTAACAAGAGGCTTCAATTCATCACATGAGGACACCATCTATAAAAGTTGGTGTTAATACTCCTATAACGTCTCTTAAAAGCAAGTATTGTACATACTATTAAAGTTTACTTCATTTCAACATTCTGCATTTGTCGTTTCCATTCGTTCAAGATTAAACTTCACATATTACACACATTTTAATATCCTTATTTCCTAAAAAGGGTAATAAAACACTGATTAAATTTGCACTGATTACATGAAACACGTCAAGTCAAGTCAAGTGTGCTTTATTGTCAATTCTTCCACATGTACAGCACATACACACAGAGAATTTAAATTGCGTTACTCTCAGACCCTTGGTGCATACAGATAACATAAATACAGATTAAATACAAAATACAAAATATCAAGCATATATATAAGACATACAACATATTATTTGTGAATCTAGTTGCCCTGTTATGCGCATAAATTATTATCTGTTGAAATTGTCTGTTGTAAGTTTTGTGTCCCTTTGCCTGACCGAAAAGAGAGAAAAGGGTGTGTCCTTTTTTTGGAATGAAAAAGGGGGAAAAGGGGAGATGTTCTGAGGTCATCCTCGTGTCAGAGCATGAGAGTCTGTCAAGTTTCTCCTGCTGGACAGGGAGCTATAAAATAGTCTCTTTTGTTGAAGGGATTATCAATTTATGTGTTAAGCGGTCATGAGGTCCGTGTGATTCTGGATACCAGGTTCTTTGTTTCGTGGTCCATTAGATGGTTTATTTATGCTTAAGCCAGTCACGAAACCTACTGACGTTCTGTTGCTTAAATGAATTCAGATGGGGTAGGGTCTTTTCTTATTGTTTCTTGTAAATATAAGCAGAGAGAGACAGGAACTGCTGAGACCCTGAGCTGACCCTGTACGTAGTTTTATGACTGCAGATGGCTGGAGAGAAGAACCTTTAGTTTTCCCGGTGGAATGTATAGATTCAATGTTCGTTTGTGTCCGTTTATAGATTCAAGGGTTTCAATATCTTGAAGGCCGGAATCCTACAAGATTAACTGTCAATAGTCAACCAATTACTCAATTACCAAAATAATGTGACAGCACTAATGTGTTACACTGGCCAGATGAAGGAAAGAGGAGCAGAGGATCTACAGCCTTGTATTTATAATCTTAAAAAGACAAAACAAAAACTATAATCAATGAGCATTGAAGAAAAATAAAGACAACTAAGGACTGCCTGAAAATGAGGGATTCAATACTAAATGGTAAAGAGTAGCTAAACATGGTGTGAGCATAGCTAGTAACAAAAGAAACCAAATCACTGTGGCAATAAATTAGAAACCAGGAAAAAAGGAAAACAGGAAAACAGAAATTGAACTTGAACGCTGCATTACACCGATTCCAGTAGGTACTTCCTGGCACGGTAAACTAAAACTACACAGTAGTGGAGGGAGGGGGATATACTCTGTACAGTGGAGGGAAGAAGGGTGAGACTCTTGGTCATAAAAGTCCATGGAGGAGCCAAAAATCGAGGAGATAACCTTGGAGCAGCTGGTGGAAGAATAGCCCATGACAGAGCTGATGGAGGAAGGAGCCAGAGTGGAGGCTCAACAGTTTATCCAGGTGGAACCAAGGAATCGACTGACCGAAGTGGAGACCCAGGCAGAGCCAAAGGGACAAAGACCCAGAGTGATCAAGGTGGGTTCAAGTCAAGTCAAGTCAAGTCTGCTTTATTGTCAATTCTTCCACATATACAGCACATACACACAGAGAATTGAAATTGTGTTACTCTCAGACTCTTGGTGCATACAGATAACACTAACAGTAGAACATAAATACAGATAGATACAGATTAAATATAAACTACAACTATACAAATATACAAATAAGGTAAAATGTAAAAAAATATATAAAGCAGCACAAGGCACATGGCATATAGAGTGCAAACCAGTGAAGTAAATAACAGTGCAGATATAATGATTTGTAGTGCAAAAGAGCTTATTCAGACTGATTAAATTGACAGTGTGTGTGTGTATTTGGGAGAGGGGAGTGGGAGAGTCTGTCAGAGGGTCAGAGTTAAGTGGTGCGTGGGGCAAAAGAGGGGAGGGGGGGCAAGGTCAGGAGGGAGTTCAGCTTCCTGACAGCCTGATGAATGAAGCTGTCCTTCAGTCTGCTGGTCCTGGCCTGGAGCCTCTGCAGTCTCCTCCCTGATGGCAGCAGACTAAAGAAGCTGTGTGTCGTGTGGCTGGGATCACCTGCAATGCAGAGGGCTTTTCGGGTGAGACGTAGAAGGTGCACATGATGGGGGCCGGGGCTCTGGCTCTTCTTAGTTTGCAGAGGAAGTAGAGATGCTGCTGTGCTTTCTTGGCCAGTGCTGCGGTGTTGTCAGCCCAGGAGAGATCCTCTGTGATGTGCACACCCAGGAACTTGGTGCTGCTCACCCTCTCCACAGTCACACCATTGACAGTCAGAAGAGCATGCTGAGTGCGCACTCTCCTGAAGTCAACAATAATCTCCTTCGTCTTCTCCACCTTCAGAGAGATATTGTTGTCACTGCACCACCCGGCCAGGTGGCTCACCTCGCTCCTGTAGTTTGTCTCATCTCTGTTGCTAATGAGACCCACTACAGTCGTGTCATCCACAAACTTAATAAGGAGGTTGGAGTTGTGTGACGTGTGCAGTCGTGGGTCAGCAGAGTGAAGAGGAGGGGGCTCAGCACACATCCTTGGGGGCCCCCAGTGTTCAGAGGTTGAGAGGGAAGAGGGAGCCCAGTTGTGCATGTAGGATGAAGGACCACAGTGAAGCCGATGGGCCAACAGACTGGGGTGGAGCCAAGGAATCAAAGCACCTAGATCAAGCTGAGGACCAGGGTGCCAAGTGAAGCCAGTGAAAGGGAGGAGCCAACAAGCTGGATGGAAACAGCAAGGATGACGGGGTTTCCTACGGATTATTTCCTATGGTCGGGACACAGGAGGGGGGAGAACGAGTGGGTGGTCCATTCTAGGGTGTGTAGGTCCTTGATTGCTAGCTCTGTAACCACCAGATTTGGGAACTCAGCGACCAGAGGACTGAGCCCAAAGGATTTTGGAAGTTCGGTAATAGACTGTGTAGTTTATGGGGAGGCCTGATTGATGGAAGCAGAGTCTTTTTCCACTTCACCAATGCTCTGGAAGGTAATAATCTTTATTTAGAATTAGGGGTACAAGTACAATTTGCTTGATATGAAAACATGGAACATGAGCAGCTGTACCTATCTATTTCTAACTCTGTAAACGGTAGTAAAAGGTAGTTTGTGCCTTTGTTTATGACCACTCTTCAAGCCCCAGTTGGCCCGCTTTGGACCAAGGTATTCGGCAAGCCGAAAATCCCTGGCTGTTGGCCCCAAATGGGCATGATCAAGCCCTGGTAGTGACAGTGGAAACTCAACTGGCAGATGCCCTATTACTGAGCCCTGTGGAACTGTATACTTGTGTTGACTTTTTTATTTTAACACAAAGTATCAGGAGTCAGATAGACATGACCTAAACCCTATTCAAAATATTTTTTTGTTGTCAAGAGAGCTAACAGCACTAAAAGAAAGACTCATGATTAAATGCCAAAAACAGGTCTTGTGTCACTTTTGAAGGTACATATACATATCCTTTTTTGAGTGATTTGACATGAGTGATTATAATAAAGGTATTAATCAAGCAATATTTTTAGGTATTAAATGTTTCTTTTATGTGTTACACAATTTGAATGATTCCTTCTTAGGGTATGTAACCAAAGAAATGATTGAAGTGTTCTTTCATGGTATTCTCCAATGTCTGCATTTGATGTCCGAAATGCAACTGGTCTTGCCTAAGGATGTATGATGCATCGTGAAAACTTAATAGGAGACACGCTATTATGTTTGGATTTTAAGGGTATCATCTATCTCTAACATGTCAAGGAATGTAGTGAAATGCTTTCACAAGTGTTTGCTGATTTTGCACGGCTTCCAGAGATGAAATATAGATTTGTTTTGAACAGACACTCAACATATGTTAGCACATACATCTACTTTCCTAGCTGACCAGGACAGCTAGGGTAACAGAGTTACTACAGCTCATGGGATATGTGACAATTTCTTAGATATTGTCAGGGGCTGGCGTCTGGTGTTCTCCCTCTCACCACCAGAGGTCGCCATCTCCCATCCTCCCGGACTCTTTCTCCGTCACCTTGACACCACACACCTGGGCACCCACTCACACACACACACACAGCTGTCGCCCATCCGGGACTCCATCACCTGCACTCCACACACCTGTGCACACACTCACTCTCTCACAGCTGTGGCCCGTCATGAGGACTATTTAGGCGCCTTCCCCACGCCACTCGGGGCGGATGATTAATGTTTGTTTCGGTGACTGACGCAGCCAGAGGTGGCCGCATTGCGTCAGATTCCTGTATCTGTTCTCAGCCTGTGTCTCAGAGTCTCAGCTCTGTTTGTTTTCTGTTTTTACTTTGTTTTCCCCAGCAGTGTAAATAAAGCCTGCATTTGGACCCAAACCCTCGTTCACACGGTGTGTCTTTCCTGACCGCTCCGTGACAGATATGTGACAATTTCATGGATATGTGACCAATTCAGAAAAGAGCTTTTCTGTATTTTTTCAAAGAATAAAGATGAATAGTGTCTGTTCTTCTCACCAGGGCCAGAACATGTTATTAGTATGTTTTGGGAATCTTTTCTGTTTATAGCAAAAGCTCGGGCCAACTAAAACCTTGAAGGAACTGTGAATCCGGTGTATCTGTATGTGTTCTTATGTTTGTGTTAAAAAAACTTTTTCGTATGTATGCATCAAAACAATGCGCTACCATATTGCAACGCATTGTGTCAATACAGCACAATGAAGAATAACTCAAAGAGGTTGCCTGCGTTTACTAAACTGTGGAGCTTTTCTTGCTGCTGATTTGAATGGCGATGTTTCCCATTTTAAGTGTCAGTTGATGGCCTTTCATTTTTAACCAGAAATGTGCACGCTGCTTTTCTGATGTTCATTTAAGTTTTCTGTGTCTTTTTCCTGTCACTTGAAATGTGTCCGTTTTGAATCATTGTGGTGAGACACGTGAGGAAAAAATAAACGATCAGTTGTGGGAATATTCTGTCATAAATCGCATACTATTCATTTCTGAACTTTCTTCCATCTGTTACTGGAAATTAAATTACTGGTTGATATGTCCCGATCTCAATAAAGTTTACGCACGCTTTTAGTCCGTGAACTGGATCTCGCTCAGGACGCGCGCTGTCTGTGGAAGTTTGGCCAGGACCGCTTCCAGAATAAATCACTGAGGCATTTTTGTCTCATCCATTGCTTATCACTGATATTTCCAGAAAGAATCCAGCATCATTCCCGAAACTTTGCAGCATGTATGTGTCCGTAAAATGAAAGTTTCATTCGAATTCTGAATGGATTATAGCCTAGAAAACACACAAAGCGTGCTCCCTTTATTATCACTAAAAGCATCACTCATCAAAGATCATCGCAGTCTCATGCATTTAGTTAGTCATGACATGATTCACGAGCGTGCAAAACTCTGGCGCTTTATGATTGGTTTATGATTGGTCATTGCATTGACGAAATCAACAGATATGTCTGTGATTGGCTACATTGCTCAATGCCGCAAAAACACATTGGATAGTTTGCCAGATCTTCAATTGCTTGTGCTTTCGTTTGAGTGTATTTAGCACCGTCTAGTAGCCCCGTACAACCGGGCCTGGGCTGACATCGGGGATTCCATGACTGATGATATGGGGGGCAACTGCCCCCCCCCTAATGTCACCCATGGATGGAGATATGCTTTGGTCTATCAGTCCATGTGTGGAAAATTACTAAATTTGTCTATTCTTTCCTTAGCCAGTCGTAATCATTTAACCTTAAGTAATGACATAGTAGACTCTATTAGAATATAATTGTTGTGGAAATGTGAATGAACTCCTCGCAAGTGACTTCTGCTGTTGAAACTGCAAACTATTTTACTATATTTCCTCATAAAAAAAAATTTCAGTTAATTGCATCTCTGACTCCTGGTCTTAGTTCAACATATCTGGTCCTTGGGTTTTAACTGTACATCCCCTACACTTCAATAATGATGGTGTTTAAATCCTGACCGAAACTGTTCACAAGTATCATTGCAAAGTGAAGGGGACCCTAATTTTTTAGACCTGAATGGTAGATTCAGGATTGGTCTATAATAACCCAGTTTTGTTGCATGTTAGTTTTGATGTTTTAATACTTTTATCTTGGTTTTGCTCTCTGTTGCTTTGAGCCATTAAACTCCCGTTAACTTCTATTTGTCTTGTTTCACTTTAGAACTGATGGCAATAAAAGAAGAGAAGCAAGAACTGAAAGAAACAGAAGAGAAAGATCAAAATGAGAGACATGATTTCTTGCCTGTAGAAAAATCCATACTGACTGAAACAAACACGGTTCAGAAGAACACATCTCCCAGTTACTTAACTTGCCATGAATGTGGAAAGTGTTTCACATTAAAAGTAAACCTTAATGAGCACATGAAAATTCACACTAGAGAATAGCCATTCACATGCCAGCACTGTGGAAAGAGTTTCACACTAAAAGGAAGCCTTAATGAACATGTAATCATTCACACTGGAGAGAAGCCGTTCACTTGTGATCAGTGAGGAAAGAGTTTCAGATATAAAGAAACAGTTAAATCTCACATGAGAGTTCACACTGGAGAGAAGCCATTCACATGCCAACACTGTGGAATGAGTTTTGTTAAAAAAGGAACCCTTGATCAACAATTAACCATTCATTTATAGAAGCCATTCCCATGTGATCAGTGTGGAAGGAGCTACAAATATGAAGAAAGCCTCAAGTCCCATAAGAGAGTTCACACTGGAGAGAAGAGAGAACATTCAAGAGAGAAGGGTTTTGTGTGTCATCAGTGTGGAGAGAGTTTCAGCTGTAAAGTAAGCCTCTACACTCATGTGAGACTTCATACTACAGAGAAGGCTTTCACCTGCAAACTGTGTGGGGATAGCTTCTCACAAAA